GAATTCAAAACCTGAATACAAGAACAATAACAAAGTCTAAGTCTAAACCAAAAGTGATGGCAACCGATAACTTAAACACCGAATCACTTCAGGAGGCATTCAATCGCCGGTGCGTTGATATGAGAATGAATTCTCAGATAAGAGTGAATCGGATCCAAACGATTGCAGACATTAGAAAACGGACGGCAGATGAACGGCTCATTGAAATGGCGAAACAATTCCTGAGACAACAGGAGAGCGCGAAAGTGATCAAAACGAATGTAATTCAACCCGTTTTCAAGTCATCGATTAGAAGGTTCTTCACTCACGAGGAAATGAGAGCACAAACGGAGAAAATTTACCACAATTTGCCAGAAGTGAAGGCAATGCGAGAGAAAAAGAAACAGAAAGAAAGGGAGAAAAACCAAAGACTTTTGGCTCAGATTTATAAATACAGACTCAAAGACAATGCATTAAAAGGACGGCTGACGTGGAAAATAACCCAAAGTTGTCTTTAAATGACCGCTCAATCCGATGATTTTATCCGTAATTTTATATTTTTCATTCATTTTCATCCCATTTTATACATTCATTCCTCCATTAAATATGAATCAAATTAAAAGCAATGATTTATTGAAAAATCATTTGTTTTATTACGGTATAAAGTACAGTATATTACCGTATATACGGTATAATGAATACAATTATTTTAAAAAGCCAATCACGAAATGATATCATAATTTAATAATTAGATTATCTGATTATAAGTTAACAATATATACAATTAATTTACTTTGCGTTTAATGAGTGTCTGTCCCTCGCCTTTAAACGCTTCAAAATCAGCCTTTTTGTTGGCATCGGTTGTGTCTGTCGTTGCAATCGGTTTCGTAACTCTAATAAACCTAAGACTTCCCATTTGGTACTCATAGTCAGGTATTCCTCGCTTCGCCACTCTTGGAGTCGATTTCCCATTAGAGCTCTCATTAGGAGACAACTCTTTGAGCTTACCGTCCAATCGATTGCCTTTCCCTCCGAACGCCACGAAAGACGGCGTCTCTGAGACGTCTTCAGCGTTGGAGTCGACGTCGTTCTCCTGGTTTTCAGTCATGTGTTTATTAACGAGTCTTTGCGGCTCTTTATAGCCGACGGGCGCCGCGAACTCCACATTCATATCGCACTCAATGATACTGACGGCGGGACCCGGTTTGGTCTCCAAGACACACAACTCGTAGACCTTATCGTTATAATTGATTGCAATCACATCACCCGTCGTAAGACACGCGAAGTTTCGCAACGCGTTCTCCAGAACGGCCTTCTGGTTGTGGATGTCGAGGAAGTCGGGCGCCTGGGGTTGGAATTTGGAGAACGTGGCGACCGGGAGGGACGCGCTCTCCACCTGAACCATAGAGCCCTCCTCCAGAAGCAGGTTCCTCATCATCCAATACGGCAGATACACCTTCCCCTCGTCCGCCACGAACTCCAGTACTCCCGAGTGTGTGAACCGATTGTGGCGAGTGTTGGTCAGCTTGAAGAGCATGGGGTACACGATGTTCAGGCGGGTCAGGGTGTCCAGTGCTGAGGGGGGCATAATGATCTTGCCACCCTTCTCCACGTCCAGGCGCTCGTTCCCCGGCAGCATCGACACCGAGTAGCACCGGTACATCGTGTTGAACGACCGGAAGTGCTCGTGAAACAGACCGAAGCTAAACATCGTGTGAATTTCAGCCAAGAGATGATCACTAATTCAAACGTCAGTTGCGATTGCAGTCAATGTCTGTATTGTTGTCTCACAACAAAACGCAGAGTCACTCAAAACAGTCATATGTTTTCATCAATACATGCATTGCCACCAAATATGACACCAATATTGCAATACTCTGTCCACTGTTTCCATGCATTTCCACTCACATAGGGATCACAACTATAGTGCCGTTAGTTATTGTGTGTACAGAATATTAGACAATCAAATGAATTGAGTGCTCATAAA